GGTGGAGAGGACCCGGGAGGCAGGAGGTCAGACAGGGGGACAAGAGAGGGGTGGGAGGGGGTCTGGCCCTTCACTTCCTGCCACTGCTTTCTTGGCCGTAGCCATGGGGCAGGGGAGGGTGAATTTAAAACAAACCTCCAATAATCATATTCTATACAAGGAAAATTATAACAAATATATACATTTCCATGTACAGAATCTAACTACTGGGGAGTCGTCATAAATTTAAAGCTGTCTTGGATCTGGGTAAATACAGTATTAACACCCCTTCTGACTATTCAAACCAATTGTACAATTCTTGTTTGGTTTTATATTTCATTCATCCTTCAAAAGGAGACTAGACAGGTCAGCACTTTGCACTGACACCATAAAACAGCAGTTCTCAATCTGGTTGGACTCCGGGCTCCCAGCTCTTAGCTTTCACTCCAGTTTTGACTACAAAAAAACACTGAAGTAATTCTTCTGTTGCAAAGAACTCAGAAAGGCCATAACATGGCAGAATGCTTTTTATACTATGGATTTCATTCAAAACCTCTGGCTTTATCTTGTGAATCATGTGTAACAGTGCTAATATTGAGCGACACTCTTAAAAGGGCCTTGGGTCACCCCAGCATGCACAGAACTCTGGATGGGAATCACTGCTATAGACAGTGCCACCAGCAATGTTATTCCATTCAGTTTGGGGAAGCCTGCCTGACAAAAGAAATCCCATGTGTGGTAACATTTTGGGTTTATTGAACCCTGACTTCATGGGTGTATGCTGCACAGATGCTGTGCTCTAACAGGCTTGAAGGAAGTCACAACACACGATGCCTCCCTCTCCAGCCTTCTTGTTTCAGAAATGCTTTGCTCCGGTTTAAATGCTAGATCATCACTGTATTTTCTGGGGTGGGTCTGTCAGTAGCTAAGAATACTAAAAAAGCTCACAAAGACTGAATACAAGTCATACACATCCTGCCTCAGCTTTGGGTGTTCTAGGATTCCAGAACCATCATGTTATGGCATTACAAGCCACATTCAAAACGAACTCTAATCCCAATCAGTCAGTAAGAAGCTATCTTTCTTAAGGTTGCCACAGCTTTTTGATACTGGCCTTGAATAGGTGGGGGCGAGCGTGTATCTACATGGTATAAGGCATGCTCCGAATGGCTCACCGGCGCTGGATCTGTCTGGCAAAGTTGTTGCTGGAGGCAGAGCAGGGGAACTGGACAGCCTCGCTGTGCAGGGTGGCATTCCTGAAGAGGTCACAGAAGTTCTCAAAGAGCTCCAGAAGCTCATCTGAAGTATTCTCAAACACAGCAATAACCTCTGTGGTAACCATGTTGTACACCACAAAGAAGGAGGGCTGCCGAGAGGAGCAAAAGACAACAATTATCAGCAGAGCACGGATACACAGGTCCCATATTAGTTGGAATTCTCCCCTGTCTCTCCCACACCATGTAAGACAGACACTTTCCCCAATTACTCTGCAATGCAGGAGAATCCACATTCCCTATACAAATTCATTATGCTATTCAAATACCTCAATAGGTACCAAATTATCCAGCCTATTAACTACAACATATTATTTGTGGAGGGAACTCAATGTGCTTCCAATTCTTCATTTCAAACTGGACGTCAATATTTCTGTTTTCTCTTCCTCACTCCCCAACCTCCACCAAATATAAAATGCTTTTTAAAGTGGCAGATTTAATTTTCTTTCCTGCTGAGGAAGTGATTTTAAACCAGGTGCTGGCTGGCAACAAATTATTTTTCCTGTATGTGGAGAGCCGAGAGCTCTTTTCTGGCATTATTTTCTTCCTGTTCTTAATATTTCCAACATGCAGAGATGAGCCTTTTTAGTGCATTGTGTTCCAACACTGCCTTCAGAAGTTGTGTCCTCCAGGTACCCTGCTGGTACAGAAATGAAAACCTCAAAGACATTACCCAGTTCTTTTTAGTTCTGACACTCTTATCCAAGAATTTCCAGGCACCACATTTGGGATTTATAATTGCAGTGATTTGAGGACTTTGGGAGGAAATCTTTTCCTAGATAAGGTTATTCACAAATGCATTAATCCCCAAGCCCAGCTACCAGCCACACATGTGAACTCCTATAACTCTCAGGAGAGCTTACAGATCAGCACCCTTTTGCCTTCAATAGCCACGATACCCGATGACCTCAGATCTTAGGATCCTCATTTTTATTAGATGCTTTCAAAAGGGTCTAAATATACTTTCAACCTAGAGACTTACCTTGGTGTACGTACACTATAGGTCTGGTCTAACAGAAGCACAGCTGGAGACTCATCCCAAAATATCATTCTTTGGGATAAATTGTACACTGGGGTAAAGAACAGGGGAATAAATCATGGGCAGCTCTCCTGAAACCAGATAGTGTGTCTCCTTCTCTAATGCTGTATTTCATAGTAGCTGTTGCTAGCACGTTGAAATTAGACCATCATAAAATGGGGGAAAGCAGCGGTGGCCTAGATACCCATGGACTACTTTTGTCATCTATGCTATTAGCTAAGTCACCGCTGCAGGAGCGGAAAGCCCTTACAGGTCCTGGGGACTGGCATGAAGAGGTAACCAAAGGAAAAGGTTTTTAAATATCCAATTGCATGCCGCAAATATATTTACCTTTTTGAAGACTGAAAAATTAAATTTGCAACATATTCCTTTTATAGGAACCACTGCACTCCAGGTAAATGTTTATCAGTGCAGTGCACTCCACCAGAGCACCTCACATTAGGTGTTACAAATGGCTCTAACATGTGAGTGTGCATTGTGCAATAGATTAAATATATTAGGTAGCCAGCCACACATCTATGGGGTATGTACGTGTTGGGGGGGAGGGTATAAGGGGGTGGGAAATGTAGTATTTCTAATTCACATCGTGTCCAGACTCATCTGAGAGCCTGACTGAACACTACACTACCCTAATTTCAGTTTTGATTCCTCCTAGCTCTACAGTGGATGTGTGTAGAAGTCTAAACGGTGGAAAAACCCTTCTGAATCACATAGTTAATTTCCCTGCTAACCTAACATTAAGATTCCAAAAATCAGAAAAAAAGAAACCAGGCTTAAATATTAAATTGCACCACCATTTCAGGCGTCACTAGATAATCTGATGACTAACAAACCACCAGGGAAGGTTAGACTTGAGTGCACAGGAAGGAACAGAGATTTTCACTGAAGAGAGCCCAGCTACTGTTGGCATAAAAAACATTCAAAAACAGTGGGAGATGGCAGGGTATGATGATAGGGCTGTTTGGCAAGGTTGGTAAAGCTAAAATGTTCTATGTTAAAGCTTTCATTTAAAAAGAAAAAAAAAAAAGCCCTGTCCAGCTGCATACACAATCCCTTAAAATAACATTTTATAAGTTCAAAAATGAAACCTGGATGTTTCTCTCCCAACACATCAAAATCCCCACAATGCTTTTCTCCAACTTCCTCAACCCAGTCTCATGCAACAGCTTAGAAGAAACAGCTTTGAAATTGACAAAATCAGAGAGTCTGAGGTTTAGCTTGAGCATGGATGAATCAAAGGTGCACTGTAGCTCAATGTTTCTCAACCCATGGGTTGCAAAAATATGTCAAAGAGTTGCGAGCTGTGGCAGGGCAGAGGGGCAGCAGGAAGGCATCTGCCCCTTCCAGGCAGGGTTGGGGCCGGGGTGGGGAGAGGGGGTACAGAGGAAAGCTGCGTGTCCAGCAGGTGGTACCAGTACAGTGCCCATGCTCATACAGACAGGGCAGTCAGGAGATGCAGCTCAGGGGGTGGGAGGGGCCATGACCTGATAAGGTTTGCCTGGCACTCTGTGGCAGCCCCAGCCCAGAGCAGAGGGGTGCCACAGGCCTCTCCTCCCTCCAGCCCATGCCAGGGCCAGATTCACACTGCTGCTGCCTGCACGAGTGGAAGCTGCCACAAATACCATGCTCCAAGTGGGATGGGGGCAGCTGGAGGCTGGGCACAGGCACAGCCAGGAGGGCATGGGTCAGGACAGGCCATGGATCTTTGCACATGGGTCCCATTAAGAAAAAGGTCAACAACCACTGTTGTAGCCAACCTCTCTGTGAAAAGGGAAGCCCTTGCCACCAGTGCTTTTACGTAAAGCTGGTTACCTCAACAGCTCAAGTGATCAGACAGCCAGAATTTACCCAGAAAGAAATAAGAAACTGATTGCCACTCCTGAAGGAACAGTCTAGTGTTCTGCCTGCATCTAACACTGCAAACCAGCCCCAGTCTGAATCAGCTACGAAGTCTGAGAGGTCTTCAAATGGAACGACTCCAGAACCCAAGCCAGTCTCAAATGCCTGGGGAACCATGGAAAAATCAATCCAAGAGAATCCATAGCATTCACCTAGCAAGGGCAGCTTAAGTTCTTTTGGGTCACCAACATCGTCAAAACTCCTGGACTAGCAGAAGAGACTCAGGAGCACCTCACTGTGAATCATTTAGACAAAGACTCCCTGTCTGGGGATATCCCTAGAATACATGCCACAGTATCTGGTAAATACTTCAAACACTGCATCGGCAAAACAAACTCAACCTTCAAGAACTCAACAGTTAAAACAACTGCACACACCATTAGTTGCAACCCCACACCTGATTAATATGGCATACAGACAACCACTATCCCTTCATGATAGCTTCTAGTCCTAGTAAAAGAACAACATAAAGATCAAGGGGAAAATTACCACCAAACTTCCACAGAAAACAAAACAGTGAACAATAATCAGCAAAAATATTTGTAAGGAATTCTTGCTAGAATCCTTACATTTCTTTTAATGTATAGGAAGTAAAAATAAGAAAAAGAAGGGAATTACATCGTTTAGTCTTTTTTGAAGTAATCTTGGATTGGCTTCAAATGGATTGAAACATAAAGACCTCGGAGCGGGGGGAGAGACAGAAATGATAGGTAACAAGTATGGGAGGGATGTTTTGTGGGTACCACAGAGATTAGCCGAAACTTAGTGACAAGTGTATTTCTTTGATAAAACCACTTTCGGCTCAGTAAACAGCCCATGAGTTACAAACTGTAGTTGGCAGTACATTGGGTGGAGTCAGACTATGGAAGCTAAAAAGAGCATGGGGTGGCATGTGCAGAAGTACATCACAGAGTAAGAAAGTTAACAGTCTATTCCAGGAATGGCCAAAGTGTGCCATATGTGCTACAAGGGGTACAGGCAGCCTCTATATGTGGCATGCCACAGACCAAGAAGACAGGCAGCAAAGGGGCAGCTAGGGCAGGGAGCGGGAAGCAGAGCAGCAGGTCCAGCAGGGAGCACAGGTCAGGGAAAAGAAAGCAGAGCAGCAGATCAGGAAGGGGAAGGGGTCAGAGCAGCACTGAGGGTGCAGGGCTAAATTGTGGTAGGCCTCTCAAATGGTCTATTTGTTATATTACTTTGCATTACTGCCTCTGAACCACTGTTCAGTTCTGGCACTGCCTTAGAAGAAACAAACTGGTGGGAATAGGAGAGGGGTTAAGAATAAGATTATCCAAGGACTGAAGAGATTGATACAAGAAGCTATTTTTAAAGACAAACTACATGTACAGTTTTGGCAGCAGAAACAGGGATTAGATACGAAAGGGTGTAGATGCCATGGTGGAAAGAAGGTGCAGTATTCAGGGCTGCAATGGATGTCATTAATTTATTTATTTTTAGGATGATTGGCATGAAGTAATTCTTAACCAAAATTTTTAAAGTGTAGAGGGATCTGTGAAAGGAAAATAGTAGTCTCCTCATTTGGTACATTTAAAACTATAACCATTGTTCAGAGTAGAGATCCTCTTTCACTTTGGGTTTTTAAAATACCCAAAACAGTAAGTCCCCAATACAGATTAAAACTGCTAATGCTACCACAATGTGACAACAAACTAGACAATTAACCCAAAGCAGAACAGAGAACCATCTCAGTTTGCTGGGAAATAGGAATAATGAACGGCACGCTTTTCTAATGTCTACAAGTTCAAAGGCATCTGAGAGATCATGAACAGCAAGAAATACCAGCGTTATTACATACCAAAGGCACCATCCAACGTCTTCAACAAGAGGATCCAAGTTATGTAATTATCCCTAATCAAGCCTCCCCTTTTACCACTCAGTCTGAAACAAGCGTTTGGACCAGAAATGCAGCCAAGTTTTTGTTTGTAACTGCCCAGTCGAGAGGACAGGCCCTACCTGGGAGGGGTCTGTCACCCGCAAGGTTACCACATCTTCACTCGTATATTTGATAAACAGGTGGTTCTCATCTAACAGCTGCATCTTCCACATGCGGAGCTGCCTCAACTGATCGAAGTACTGAAAGAACCTCCTCTTGGCCATTGCGCTGCCGTCCTGCTCCGCCCTCCTCCACAAGTAAACCAAAAGCCGGTGCTTGAGAGAGTTGATGAAGGGCTCTTTGTAGGGGTTCGCCATCCCCGTCTGCGTGTCCCGCTGCACTTCTGGATAGACGGCCGACAGAGTCAGGAGATCATCCTCGTAGCAGAAGCGCCCAATGGTCCGCACGTCGATGAAGGTCCCCTCGGGCGTCACCTGAAAGACGTGGATGGTCTGCTGCTGCACAGAGAGGATGGCCAGGATGTTCTTGTAGAGGTAGAGCCCCTGATTGTGAGACAGAATGACCTTGTCACACTTGAACGTCCTTGTGTCGCACAGCCGGCCCGTGTGCAAGTCGATGATGTGCAGGGAATAGTCCTCCAAGGGCGACCGGGGGTTGGGCGTCACGGACTCACTGTTGCGGTACACCTCGAAGAAGGGTGGGTGCGGCTCCTCGGGCAGGTAGGCGGCCGAGCCCACAATGACATAGCGGCAGTCGTCCGTGAAGAGGCTGCACTCGCGGTTCAGGTGCTCGCCATTGGACGCCACGTTGGTGATGTGCAGCAGCACGAAGAAGCGCTCGAAGAGCCGCCCACGCAGGTTGACAGAGCGCTGGTCGTTGCCATTGGCCAGGATCTCGCCCTCGTAGCCCTGCAGCAGGTCCTCGGCCGCCTGGCAGCCCTGGTACTCGTAGATCTCGAGCGAGGTCTGGTCGGACGAGAAGGCGATGAAGTAGCGGCCGTCAGGCGAGAACTTGCGCAGAAAGCAGGGCGGCTTCTCCACGTTCACCACTGTGAAGTTGGGGAAGACGTTCTGGTGGAAGACGCGCACCTGGTGCCAGTGCGTCCCCGCGCGGCCCGAGCTCAGGCGCCGCCGCTCCAGCCGGTAGATCACGTTCTGGTTCTGGATGCGGCGCGGCCGCAGCGTCGGCGCCTCGGCCTCCATACGGGGCCCGGCCCGGCCCGGCTCCCGCGGCCCTTCACGCCATGGCGGCCGCCATCTTTCCGCCACAGCGCCGCTGCGAACGACTGCGCAGGACCAGAGCGGCCCGGAAGTGACCCCCGAGACCATAAAGGACGCGGCGCGGGGGGGGGGGGGATGGACGGGGTAGAGTGTCTCCTCGCGCTCTGCAGCAGCAGCGGCCCCTGGCGGGCGGAGGCGGCGCTGAGGGGTGTTGGTGACCGTGCGGGTATGGTGGTGGTAGTAGAATGGTGTCGACCCTACAAAGTGTTCAGGAATGCAGTGTCATGGTTGACCGACACGTTTCTTTGGGCCAGTCCGATCTCTTTTATTAGACCAACTCATTTTCCTTATTCTGTTGGATTAGCTCAAATAGTGCTCATGGGTGCAGCCTGTGCCAAGTCGGTTGTACCGTCGTGTCAACCCTTGTGTGATCAAAGTGTTCAGAAATGGACAGTCATGGTTGTCAGACATGTTTCTTTGGGTCAATCCGATCTTATTTTATTTTATTAGATCAAATAATTGTCAAATAATCAAATGATGTTATTAGATCAATAATTTAAGAAATGCCTGGATGATTGTCTTGCTGGAGTAATCTGACCCCAGCTGACTTCCTGTCCCTTGGGCAGTGGGCTGGACCCAATGATCTCACAAAGTCCCTTCTATCCCTAATGTCTATGAAATCTATGAATTATTTTATTAGATCAAATGATATGATAAATAATTTGATACAAATTATTTTATTTTATTTTATTAGACCAAATAATTGATGTAGCATATGGCAAGCCCAGGTCACTCTCAGGGAGTCTGAACTGACTTTGGGGTTTGCTGTCAGCACTTTCCCATGATGGCTTGCCTCCAAATGAAGAATTTTTTTTTTTTGTAAAAATATATGTCTATATATCTTACTTTCTAGTCATCTTTCATCACATTTTCATGCACACCAAAATGAAAACCATAAACCTGTCACAATATACACACCCACGGACCTGCACACCTGCGCAAAAGCCCACCAGCCTCCCAACCCCAAAATCACACTCCCTAAATCCCCACCCCAGTTACAGGGTTGAAAGTCTCAGTTCATCTATTGTCCGTGTTGCTGCTGCTGTCAATCTAGCTCCCACTGGTAGACCCACTGCCGCTGTTGCTGCTGCTTTCCTCCAATCCATTCACCTTGGTGTACTCTTTGCTGTTGCAGTCCTCTTCTCTGCCTCAAAATAAAGAAATGCTTCAACTTTGACGATCCAGTTCTCACTCACTCACTTGCCCTTACAGTGAGCAATATAAAGGAAATATGAATAAGACTTATTTGCCTACCTTTTTTTCAGTGCGTGATAATTTGAGCTTCCAATACAATAATTTCATATTTAAGACCTGGCAACACTGGCACCCATGCTCCCCAACCCTGAGGGGCCTGAGCTAGCAGTGAGGGCCTGGGCATCGAGGCTGGGACTAAGGAGGGACTCTCTGGCTCTGAATGCCGTAGAGACAGGCACAGCTGGACCTTGGGAAGGGTCAAGGGGGTGTAGAGCATCCCAAGCAGGACCACCATCTTTCTCCAGTGACACAGAAATGAGAGGCTTCACAATATGCTGGGGCAGCACCTTGCAATTCCTTGCCAGAGAAAGCAGGGAAAATACAGTAAAAATAGTCAAAAGCCACTGCGGTGTTAGTCCTACAGCCATTATGACCCCCTGTATGTCTCTTGTTCCAATTCCTAGAAGAAACTCTCACCTCCTTGAGTGCCTCCATGGGCCTCTGGGACTTCCTCATCAGTCATTTTTACACCTGGGTTCATGTGACCATGTCTGAGTTCAGGGTTTTAGCAAGAGCTGAAAACGGGCTGCCGGGCTGTGAAAGAGCCATTTTGAGGAATGCAAGGGTTTCTTAGGGTGATATCTTTTATTGAGCCAACTGTGTTGTACTCCAGAGTTGCATATATGAAGTTGCGTGTGTTGGCTGGAGGATTGCAGATGATGAGTCGCTCCTACCTTGGAGGTCTTTAAGAGGAGAATGGACTAGCACCTGGGTGGAGTCATCTGACCCCAGTGCTCTTTCCTGACCAGGGCCAGGGGTCAAACTTGATGATCTACTGTACTGAGGTCCCTTCTGACCCTAAAAATCTATTAAATCTATGAGTCACCTTGGCATGATGTTATGTTCTTATGTGTTGGCCCCTCAATTAGAGGATGTTCCCTACCACAACTCACTGATGAGTCCTGAAGTGACTTAAGAGTCCAAACCTTGAGCCACAGACCTGTCCACAGAAGTAGAAGATCTGATCTTTTTGCAGGGGAGAGTAGGCCACAGGCCAGGATTTCTCTCCTTTTCCTTCCTCCACTCTCTCTTCTCTGCTTCAAGGATGAGATGCTTTACCTCAAAACGAGCAGCTGTTTGGTTGAGGTTGTGGTGCCACTGGAGTTGGTTGGGAGCCAACTCCTCCCAGGTTTTGACATTGCATCTGTTTTCTTGAGGTCTGCTTTCCATGTGTCATTGTAGTGTTTCCTGTGGCAACCACAAGATTTCAAGCCATACCTGGAGGATTGCAGATCCTGTGCAAGAAATGCAGTCATACACACCTATATACAGCACAACTATGCAGAATAAATTTGGAATAACAGTGACATCTTCTTAAGCCTTTGCAATGAACATAACATCATTCCAAGGGGACTCATCAGCTGCAGTCCTCTAACTAACACACACAACTCTGTATATGCAACACAACTATGAGAACTTCAGAGTACTACATGGTCAATCCAATAAAAGATATTACCCTAAGAAAACCCTGCCTCTCACATTTCTGGATCATCACAGCAACAACCTCACTGTTACACAATCATTCCCAGGAAGGACTGGCAGACAGCAACACTGCAAGAGAAAGGATAGTGTGCATAATGGAACATCTAGACCATTAAAAAGGAGAGAGGGTTGTAACCAGCTGTGGAGCGGAGAAAAATTAGCAGAAATTCAGGAGATGACACTAAGCCATGAAGTCAACAGACTCTCAGCACTGACTGAACAGAAATGTGCTGCTCTCCCTCCCAGGCAGTTGGTTTTAAAGTTTAGGCGGAGCAGGAATCAAAGAGGGATGGACCGCACCATTGCTCCCACCCCCACTTTGATCAGCCTAGAAATGTTGTCGAACCTCCATCCCTGAATATTTTCAAGACCAGGCTGGACAGACCCTTGGCTGGGTCAGTTTGCTTAAGCAGGGGGCTGGGCTGGATGTCACTGTTTGAGGTCCCTTCTGACCTGATTTTCCAGTGAACCCAATGCAATGCCACCTTCACAACCTGTGATGACCAAGCTCACCATATCTGTGCTGTGGAGGCAGGTCTCCTTCTGAGAAGGAAATCACATGGACTGGCCTCCTCATCCAGGCCCACACTGGGGGGGGAGGGGGCAGGGGGAACCATCGTCAACCTGACAATCTTGCCCCTGCTTTTCTTCAGTATTTAGAAATTCTCTGTCTCATCTCAGCAGAAGTCTCAGCAACATCCATGTTGTGTATTGAGTGTTTAATTCAACCACAGATCTCCACGTTGACAATTACACATGATGGAAATAATGTCTTAAGCTGCACATGGAACCAGTCCCTGGTGGATGCTGCTCAACACTTGCTATCAGGACACTGCATAACCCAATAGGTTATTCATCTCCAATGTGAATGTTGGGCTGGTGACAAGTACAGCCGCCCTGGAAACTGATGCCTCTGCAGGCCCTCACTGCAGGCAATAGAAAATATGCAGTTATTTCCCCACGCACCAGCTCGTCCAGCAAAGAGGAATTTCAAAGGCACAAGAGAGTTCATCTCCAGGGCCTCCTTGGTCTCTGTGCTGGGATGCCAACAAGGAAAACTTTTCTGATCTGGGCCCTTGTCCAGAAGGAATTGAGCTGATATTTTCCTTCTGCCTTTTCTTACTGGGATTCACAGTTTGCCTTGCAACACAGGGGCAGAATCTAATTCCCATTGTAGTAAGACATCTTTTCTCATACTGGGGGGCTGCTTGGAATTAACTGCTCTGCTTGGATTTATTGTCAGTCCTGGCTCCTACCTAGATGTACCAGGCCTCTCAGCCTAACAGGTTAAAATGGTAGAAAAGTAGCAGCTCAGCAGCATGGATCATTCATTTTGGGAACCCTTTCTATTCATGACAAGAGACAACAGAAGTGTTGTCAAGAGATGAAGAGAGACCATACTTCTGACTTGCACATCTTTCAGATGTATGAATGAGAGGGAAAATCTGTACAAGGGACTGAACCTCTGTGTCAGTTTTTCACCACTGTCTTTCCCTGAGCTGATGTAAAACTGCAGCACTGCAGTGCAGTGTTTCTGCCATCCCTCACCTTCCCCCAGGAATTAGCACCTGTTCCTCCTCATTTTTCAATTAAGTCTGATTATTCCTGATAATCTGAAAAAGCCTCCCCCATAGTGTGGGCATTAGAGCAGAGGAAGTTCCTCCATCCAAGGCTTCCCTCTGTTGCCTTGATGGCATCATTGCTTGTGTTGTGTTCCTCAGTTTCCATTCTAGGTATTGGCCACTAATTGGTCAGAGCGGTCACTGGTGGGTAGCCAGTCAACTCTGACTGGTGTAGGGACAAGTATATTGCCTGATCCCACTCACTTCTAGAAGCACCTTGGTCCCGTCCTTCAGAAATACTGCTTTTTGGCAGGTAGTGAGTAGAGATAACAAAAAGAGAAGTAGAAATGAGAGGGCCTTTCCTAAGGCTGGAATCTCACACAGGAGATGTAGTGGGGAGCAGCATCTCTTTGTCCTTTTTACATGCATAGTCCTATTAAACGTGGTCATCTCCACCTAGAGCTGAAAGAGTGCTTTTAATGCAGTACTTGCCAGATCTTACTGTGGGAACTTTGGCTCATCACAAGAAAGAAACAGCCCAAATGAAAGAGTGGAAAAGAGAGACTGCAGAGCTGAAAATTGGCTCAGGAGACAATATCCCTGGGGTGTAGATGGTCTCCTCATTTTCAAAGCAGAAGGACATAATTTTGTGCTCTTTTCTATGGGGTGTCTTTTATGGGATCCAACTTCCCAA